CAGAGTGAGGAAAAGTGGGTGCTTGGGTTGGAGAGAGCCGAGATCACACCACCGCACTCCAGCTTGGGCCACAGAGTGAGATTCCAAAAAAAAAAAAAAAAAAAAAAAGAAATGACAGCATTGTGCAAAAGTGCCTGTTATGCCTCGGGACAGATGAATAGCTCAGTACAACCAGAACAGCTGTGCCCAACCTTCATTAACCACACAGCACCTTCACAACTTCTGCTCTTACTGAATCTACTTCACTATGATCTTATCTCCTCGATGCTTTTCTTCAACCAACTTGTTTTTAAAAGTTTACTTTGGTCTTCTTCAAAATTACAGTAGCCATGAAATTATGGGTTTGATATGCTATCTACATTTTCTTTAAATCATGAAAAATAATTACACATTATTAAAGTAAAAAGTGTCCATCTGTGAACCTAGAGCTAAATCCTCTTGCGTTCCAGCTATGTTTCCCAAACTCTGGGAAGCTGAGCGAGGAACTTTAAGGCCTGTGTTGCTTGAGAAGAGATCTGCACTTACTGGGAAAAAACAAATGCAAACATTAGAGGAAATACATTATTAACGAGTCACTGCCAGTGAGTCACAATGTTAGTCTCTGGGGACATCAGTGCCCTGGCAAGGCCCTGACCTGACCCTCAGCAGGCATTAAACATCTCACAACTAGAAGATCCCGAGGCTGCATGTGACCCTCCCCAGGGACGCAGTCATCCGTTTAACTTTTATCACCAATTTGAAAAACAGGCGCCAGTGTCTTTCTTCCTTTCTTTCTTTCTTTTTTTTTTTTTTTTTTTGAGACGGAGTCTCGCTGTGCTCCCAGGCTGGAGTGCAGTGGCGTGATCTCGGCTCACTGCAAGCTCCGCCTCCCGGGTTCACGCCATTCTCCCGCCTCAGCCTCCCAAGTAGCTGAGACTACAGGCGCCCGCCACCACGCCCGGCTAGTTTTTTTTTGTATTTTTAGTAGAGACGGGGTTTCACCATGTTAGCCAGGATAGTCTCGATCTCCTGACCTCGTGATCCACCCGCCTCGGCCTCCCAAAGTGCTGGGATTACAGGCTTGAGCCACCGCGCCCGGCCTTTTTTTTTTTTGAGACGGTGTCTCACTCTGTCGCTCAGGCTGGAGTGCAGTGGTGTGATCTCGGCTCACTGCAACTTCCGCCTCCCAGGTTCAGGTAATTCTCCTGCCTCAGCCTCCTAAGTAGCTGGGACTACAGGCCCATGCCACCACGCCTGGCTAATTTTTGTATTTCTAGTAGAGATGGGGTTTTGCCATGTTGGCTAGGCTGGCCTCGAACTCCTGATCTCAGGTGATCCACCCACCTTGGTCTCCCAAAGTGCTGGGATTACAGGCGTGAGCTACTGCGCCCCACCCGCCAGCGTATTTCTGTGATTTATCGTTCAACCTTTTTTTTTGAGATAGGGTCTCGTTCTGTTGCCCAGTCTGAAGTATAGTGGCACGATCACAGCTCACTGCAACTTCGACCTGCCGGGCTCAAGTGATCCTCCCACCTCAGCCTCCCAGTAGCTGGGATCATAGGCACAGGCCACCACTCCTGGCTTATTATTTATTTTTTTGTAGAGACGGGGGTCTCCCTATGTTGCCCAGGCTGGTCTTGAACTCCTAAGCTCAGGCAATCCTCCTGCCTCCATCTCCTAAAGTGCTGGGATTACAGCCACGTGCCACTGCGCCTGGCCTATTGTGCAACTTCTTGAAAATCTAAATTTATACTTCACCAAACACAAGAGCCTCAACTGTATCAGACAGCAGCATGGCTCCCAGAGGAGCAACAACGAGCCAAGGGACAGGAATGGAGCGACCAGGGCACTTCCTTCTTACCTCCGTGCACAAAGCCGTGCAGGGTGCAGTCTGAAGGCCCCACCAGGTGGATCAAGCTGGACTGGCTGTAGCTGACAGTGTTCGGCTCTGGAATTGCAAAGGAAAGAGATTAGTTATGGGGTAGACTGATTCCCACAGCTGAATGGTCTGACAATGCCGGAACCACCCTGAGGTCTGCATAGTCAGCGAAGGCGTCCAAAGGCAGTTCAGCTATGATTTCTCTTAAGGAAACCCATGGTCTCCAAACAGGCTACAGTTGGTGAAGGAGACGTTTTCAAGGATTCATGACCCATTCTGTTAGTGGGCCATGACGAGACTCTCTGGGGCCATCAGTGCCCCGCAAGGCCCTGCCCAGGGGTAGCCACGAAACACCTCAAAGCTGTGAGTCCCAGGGCTCTGTGTGACCCTCTACCGGGCTCTAGTTAACCATCTGACTTGCATTTCCTACCAGAAGTGCCACAGTGTTTCTGTAATTTACTCCACCGGCCTGAGAACATACAGCTGCCCAGGGTACAAGCTCTTCCCTCCGGCCAGCCCCCTACCCCATTCACTACTCTATCACCTCACTCTTGCAAGAGCCCCAAATACTTTGGAGGAGCTTCAGTCACCCAACACTGCACTGCTCCTGAAATATCTTTAAGAAGCTGCACTTAAGAAAAAAAGCAGATGAAATATAATGTCCAGTCTCTAGAAGGTAGACCTTTCTTTTTTCTTGAGACAAAGCCTCGCTCTATCGACTAGGTTGAAGTGCAGTGGTGCAATCTCAGCTCACTGAAGCCTCCGCCTCCTGGGTCCAAACAATTCTCGTGCCTCAACCTCCCTAGTAGCTGGGATTACAGGCACCTGCCACCACGCCCAGCTAGTTTTTGTATTTTCAGTAGAGACACGGTTTCACCATGTTGGCCAGGCTGGTCTCGAACTCCTGACCTCAAGTGATCCGCCCGCCTCAGCCTCCCAAAGTGTTAGGATTACAGGCGTGAGCCACTGTGCCCAGTCCAATATATAATTTTTTAAAAAGCCAATTATCCTTATTATTCTGTCTAACAAGAGAAAATGGAATTATCATGAGCTCTTCGGATTCATAGCTGTCAGCTGTCCAGCTTTGACCGTGGAGGGACTATGTGGCCATATGGCTGTCCATTTTTAGGGTTGATGACAAAATTAGCCCTGCCTCGGACAAGTTCGAATGCCTGCCTCATCCCTGGCCCTTGGGCTGAAAACAGTGTTCACTTCCAAGCCTGGTGCAGCCCTTCCAGTGCAGGTGGGGTCTTGGCAGGTCACCCAGCCCCTGGCTTCTGGGTTGGGATCCACCCTTCTGGGGTCAGGAAGTGCTCTGGCCAAGCCCCAGGAAGATCCGCCCTGAGCCATCCACAAGGGTGCAAGAGCTGGTGAACATGGCCAGGCCAGGGGCTCGGCCCTGGGTCTGAAGCTCCTTCCACTCGATGTCTCTGGCCCTCTGGCCGGGCCCATAGTCCTGCTCCCGTAAGCAGTAGCTTGGGGGCTGAGGGCATGGGGGAAGCATGAGAGGATGAGGGGGTAAGCATGAGAGGATGGGGGAGGAAGGGAGGTTCTGGAGTTGGACTGCCTGGGTTTCAATCCCAGTTCTGCTGCCTTCGTGGGAACTTAACCTCCCTGCGCCTCAGTTTCCTCAGCTGGAACCAGAGATGGTGAAAGTGAAACGATCGGGTTGTGAAGATGACGTAAACACCTAACACACACGAAGCCCTGTAAACGGCTTGTCACACAGGACGGGATCCGAAAAGGAGAGTTTTGTGTTTACGGCTATGTAAACCTCGCCCACTGCTGTGCTGGGCGCCTGGTTCCGGCTCCTCACATCATTTTGAAACTGCAGGTTCACAGATGAGGCACTGTCAGTCAAGATCATAGTCACCGCTGCAGCAGATAAACCCTAAAACCCTAGTGGGTCACACAGTGAGGCTGATTTCTTGCTTAGGTAAAGTCCAAATCAGGCTTTCCTAGTGGGGTAGATTTCATCCAAACGGTGAAGATGTGGGGATTCAGGCCCCTCTGGTCCGGTAGCTCCATTACCCTTAATGGGTAGCTTTGAAGGTTACCTTGGAAGGGGACAGAGTTGGGGGAGGCTCACACACCTGAGGTTTCAATGGGTCAGGCCTGGAAGCAGCATTTCACTCTGCTCACACTCTAGACATGAGTGGTATTGTCACACCCGCTGCAGAGGAGGCAAGGCAACGTGGCCCTGCTGTGTGTGGAGACAGGCTTGGTCATCTCTGTTTGGTTCTGCCCCTCCAGTCACCAGATCCCTGTTGTATTCTTTGCACACGTAGAGCACCTCACCCTCAAGGACGACCACCTGAAACCCGATCCAGCCTCTGAGCTCACCTCAGAGCACAGCGGCTGGTCACATGTATGTAGTCTTCTCCATCGTGTTTAGATGCAATTTTTCATGTTCCTCCAGCCAATGAACTAAGAAAATGAGTTACCTGCACCTGCACCCTTTATACAGCAGCAGAAGAGCACACTCATTCAGCAAAGAAAAGAACACAGGAGCTACCCAGGAGCCCCTGGCCCAAGCAGAGATGACTCCCGCTAGGGTCTGAGCTATGGCCATGGAGAAGGGTCTTTGGTTAGACCCTGATTCCACTCTTGGGGAGGAACTACATGGTCCTTGGTTCAGCCTCCTGGAAGGTTCTTCCCTGTTCGTTATCCACCATGGCCTCATTCAAGCGGGCACTGGGAAATAGGGCCCACGGCCTACCTCCTGCTCATCTAGGTTTGGGGAGGTTACTTTAAAGTTTGAACAGTCAAAAGCTTTTTTTCAGTCCAGGCAAATTCAGTTTCCTCATAAACTTAGTAGGCATCTGATCTGTCTGTCTCCAGTCAGTTCCATGTGACAGGAACCACACCCAACATTCTTTCCAAGTGTCATGCTCAAGCCTGGTATATTTTGTTGCTTTTCCATCCCACTCCACTGCCTTTCTCACTCTCTCAAGACACACGTTGGTGGGTAAACCACACTGTAATCTGATTTTCGACACAAGGCTGAGTCTTTTTTTTTTTTTTTTTGAGACGGAGTCTC